ATACTATAGGAATCACTTCCTTGACACTTACCGCCAAGTAGCCATTGATGTTATACTGGGGTTGGAACTCTCAGACACTCAATGGCAGGAAATAGACTATGTCGAGACTTTGCTCAATGTTGCAAGTGCCTTAATGCCTATTGGCCCGCCAAGTTACATGGCAGAGATCGCCCCTAGCAACGAGAAATACCTTGCGAGCGCCCTCTATTCTTTGTCCAGGTTAGGACAATTGCTATCTGGCAAAGGTTATGTGCATTTTGGTACCTCAAAGATAAATTTATGCCTGTTTGTTTTTGTATTATAGTTAACACTAACCCCTTTCATTCTAATAAATTAATATCTCCTCCTTTATATTAATAATTTAACACATTTTTTTAGTTTTCCTCATAGTTTGATTTTGAGCTTGCTAAATTTTCTTCTTTGCACTCAAGTATTATTATTAATTTTATTACTATTATTATTATCATCATTATTGTCCTAAGTCACAGGGTAAAGATAATGAATGCTTATTACAGACTAACTTGACACCGGTCTCTTTCACTCTTGGCCATTACCATAGTAATAAAGATAACAAGGTTATACTGCTGGAGTTCAAATTGCCATCAGGACTGTTAAGCCCATCTTTACCATAAACCAGAAGTGTGGTACAGTTTTTAGCACACTATTAGATGTGGTTTTCATGTATCATGGTTTTAGTTTACAAGAAAGGAGGGTTAAGTATGCCAAATGTTTCTCTCCTTATCTATGTACTGTATTCCCTTGTACAGTACCTGGTGTTACTTAAATGTGATATTTTATTAATGGAGGTCTGTGAGGTTGGCATTATAAAGTAATGCTTGTTTAAGACATGAAGAATGACAATAATGGTTTAATCTTCTACTGGCTAGCTGAAAATATAACTCACAGAGACCTGGTTAGTCAGAACTACTTTTCCTACTGTGTTACATTCCAAATTTTGTAAGGCACTGTCCAAGTCTATGCCATCCCTGTGAGACCATACTTACAGTAGTGTTTTGGGTCACTGGGGCAATTTTGTGAACCTGTACTTGTACTCGGACTTAGGCAACCTTTTGAAGCCATACTTGAACTCAGGCTGACACCCAAGGTGTTGAAACCTCCACTCGTTCTCATTATGTGTGTCACTCAAGTCATCATTCTTTCAGTGTAGATATAATGTTGATTTGCTACTTGACTTCTAGAACATATGGAAGTGGGAAAATGTTCCAACCAGGAAGTTGTTTGATAGATTCTTGATGACAAACAGAACACTGTTCCATCAGGCAATAATGGCAGACCCATGCAACCATGGAAAATGGTCATAAAACAATTGTGATGATGATGATTCTTGAGTACAGTATTGAAATGTTGAATTTTGACAAAAAGTACCAATAAAATAAGCCTGTTCAAATTTCCATCAAATACACAGTATTGGATTTGATTTGATGAGATGATATCAGTTTTATTACCAAGTGCTCACTTTCTTGTCAGAAGGGGCTGGCTAACTTCTGTCATATACAGATAAAATGGAAAGAGAGGTAAAATATCTCTGACCACATCATAGTCTACTCTTAGAGACATTGACTTTAAAGTTGACTTGATTGTCCAGTAAGACTGAGTGAAAGTAAATCCCACTGTCTACTAAGTCTTTGGTACACATGGAGGCTGTTTGGCTGATGCTTCACCTGACCACTTTCATGTAAGTTATGCTTAATGAATTGTCTGTATGCTAGGCATAATGATTGCCATTAAGGCAGGCTCTTTGAGTGGCTAGTAAGCTAGGCTCTATGAGTGACCAGTAAATTGGGTATTTAATTTTGCAGAGGCCTTGCACACTGAAACAAAACTTATCAACCCAACTATGGCCATCCGTGACAGACATAATTCACAATATTGAGGGAAAATATGCATATAACAGTATATAGAGAGATGTTATATCACTTAGAAATGATGGGTTATGTTATGTCTTTTATTAGTTGTTGTCTTATACACATTTGTGTTTAACAGTCACTGCACATCCTTGTACTTTGCTCATGATCTTAGTAGATTAAGTTATTACTCTGTGGTGATTAGCAGACCTACTTTTAAAGATTCAGTAAATACTATCCACTCTATTGTACATACTGTATATAGATTACAATAATCATGTGGTCAACCATTATCTTTATGAATATGAAACCTTTGTGAACTTGAAACATTATTATTTGGTTGGAAGTGAACCTTCTTGTACTGATAACATAAGCTGTGTCATATAGATCTGGGAGGTGCAAAGTAAAAATCTTGTTGAGCACTAAACACATTGCACAAACCCTCACCTTCTTTTGTCACAAACCAGCTGTTGTAGTGTCACTCAAAATACAGGGTGTCCCATATATCATGACTCCATAAAAATAGGCGATACAATATAGTCTGCATTTACGCGGTCAATTGAACCCGTGGAGTACCGCATAAAACGAGTAACGCGTAAATGAAATAACAGAACATATGGGATTAATTGAAATAGAGACTGGGCCGACCCCCAAACTCCACTTTTTCCGACACAATACGTACGTTGTAGTAAAAATAACATCTTAATTTTATGATGGTATGCACACACAATTAATAATTAAGAGAAATATCAACAATATTAGGTTTTTTAACACTTACCGTATATACTCGTCCATAACCCCCCCTTGTTTATAGGTCGACCCTGATTTTTTGACCAAGAAATCGTTAATTTACGATATTCCTTGTTTATAGTTCGACCCACATTTTTTAGGGTAATGGAACAACAAAACCTTCACTAAAAACGCTCTACGTCCTATAAACTGAGGCTCGCCGTGCATGAAACACGAGTGCCGAAGGCAAATTGTTTACCATTTATTATTACGACACTTTACACTGAAACGCGGGTAGTTTCAACAAAAATATTGTATACTTCCATTCAAGTATTTATTCAAGTCAATTAGGAGGAATATTATTGTAATACAACAGTTTTTAACTAAACCATTTGAAAAGCAATTACGGTAACATCTTTTGAGCGAAAGAAAGGGAAAAGTCATTGTTTTACACGATTTTATCCCACTTTCCACTGTAATATGTACTTAATTTCAGCAAAAATATTACATTTCCGTGAATGTATTATATCAAGCACAGTATGAATAGAATATCATTGTAATATAGCAGAATTTTAACCGAAAACTATTAAAAAACGAGTAACATCTCAAGAACAGAAGCTTAGGTAAAGTCTCTTGTGAGACCACACCTGGATTACGCAGTTCAGTTCTGGTCACCGTATACAGAATGCATATAGAATCATTGGAAAGAATTCAGAGGAGAATGACAAGACTAATCCGGGCATTAGGAACCGAGTATAGAGACAGGTTAAAACACCTTAATTTGCACTCCCTCGAGATACGTAGAGCGAGGCGACATGATAGAGGTGTATAAGAGTGGAAGTCAGGGCTAAACAAAGGGACATTACAAAGGTACTCAAACTATCCAACCAGGAGCGAACTCGTAACAATGGTTTTAAATAAGACAAATTTAGATTTAGTGAAATAGGTAAACACTGGTTTGGAAACAGAGTTGTGGATGAATGGAACAAGTTGCCAAATATCATCATTAACTTCCGAATCGCTGAATAGCTTAAACATAGGTTGGATGCTTATATGAGCAATAGGGTTGGGTTAATAGCGGGACTGCCCAGTATGGGCTAATAGGCCATGCAGTTTCCTCCATTCTTATGTTCTTAAGTTCTTTGTTTCGTCATGTATTTTATCCTATTTTACATTGAAATACATCACGTTTCCACAAAACTACTATTTATTTCGAGAATATATTCATTCAGGCGCAGTTTAATGTCAAATATCGTGTGATGTAATAGTTTTTAACTGAAAACGATTCAAAACACGTACCCTCTAGCCCTGTTCAAGGAGAGGACTGGGAGAAGCTGTTTGGTGCTGCAGGCGATGACAAGGAAAATGATTTTGATGGATTTTAATGAAAATATTCAGAAATATGGTATCGTAGTATTTATTCAAGTCAATTAGGATAGAATATTATCGTAATACAACAGTTTTAACTGAAAACCATTAAGCGATTACGGTAACATCTTTTGAGCAGAAAGCGAAAGTCATTGTTTTCGTCCCGATTTTATCCCACATTCCACTATATCGTCACGTCATTTCAGCAAAATATTACATTTCCGTGAATGCATTATATCAAGCACAGTATGAATAGAATACCATTGTAATATAACAATATTTTAACTAAAAACTATTAAAAACGAGTACAGTAACTTCTCTTGAACATCGGAAGGTTAGGTAAAATCTTTTGTTTTCGTCATGTATTTTATCCTATTTTACATTAAAATACATCAAGTTTCAGCAAAACTACCATTTATTTCCGAGAATACATTCATTCAGGCACAGTTAAGGTAAAATATACATGTGATGTAACAGTTTTTAACTGAAAGCGATTCAAAAAACCGTGTACCGTCTAGCTGATACAGCTGGTGGTTAAGTGATGCGTCATGCGTCGTTGTAAACAATAGGAGGTTGAAGTAGATTACCGGGTATTATATTAAGGGTGAAATATCGAAAAGGTTTTATTACCGGTATTTTGTGAATCAATGAGAACTGTGATACTGTATATGATATGATAAGTTAGCCTGTGCTAAGAACTTAAACATAGATTCCTGAAAGCACGTTGTAGGTAATTTAGCCTATTGTAAGTTGGTGGGCTTCATTTACTGGGGAACTGCACAACTTTTCATTACTAATTGGTACATATTTTACGTTTCCATTGTTTACGGGCAGTAAATGGTAAATATTTTTCATGTCTGAAGCTAAAAGTTGCTCCTCGCCCTTCCCATCATGCAGGTTCAACCTAACAAAACTATTACGCATGTATAGGACGACCCCAATTTTTTGCCTAAAATTTGGTCTTAAAACTTCGAACTATACTACGGTATATACGGTAATCTCGACTCTCAACATAGGTTTACAAAGGAAAATCTTGTCTAACAAATCTGCTGACGTTTTTAGGAAAGTCTTCAAGGTAGTAGACAATGAAAGAAAATTACAATGCTTTTTAATTAGACTTTTAAAGCATTTGACAGATGCCGCATCAGAGGCTTCAGAAAAGTTAAGGCTCAGTATGCGAGGAAAGTTTTAAATTTGATAAAATCATGGCTCACCGATAAAAGACAGATAGTCAGCATAGATAGTGTTAAATCTGAG